AAAAGATAATTTTTAGTTTGTGATTGAAATGTCCTAATAAATAAATGTTACTACTCAAGATTTTGTTTTTTGTAAACCTGTCCTGAGAATATCCTTTAATCAATAGCTAAACGACAACACAAAAACTGAAATGAAGACATACGTATAAAGTAGTAGAAGAGAGGCAACTTTACTTGAGTATCCTAAAAAAGATTAATTCGCATGAAACTCGAAATCATCATGACGATTTACTTTAACCATCCTCGCATGGCTTCTGATTTCAACTCCTTTTATTATAGTAAATTGTCCCTACAATTGCAAATTTGTTTTTTAGCAATATATAACATATCATCATGACGATCTACTTTAACCATCCTCGCATGGCTTCTGATTTCAACTCCTTTTATTATAGTAAATTGTCCCTACAATTGCAAATTTGTTTTTTAGCAATATATAACATATCATCATGACGATCTACTTTAACCATCCTCGCATGACTTCTGATTTCAACTCCTTTTATTATAGTAAATTGTCCCTACAATTGCAAATTTGTTATTTAGCAATATATAACATAAAAAATATAGCCTACAATTTTATGAAATTATTGGCTAGGAGACGGAAAATGCCAAGTGATTCTATGTAATAAATATTATTATGCGTTAATGATAACACCAAAATTAAGTTGGAAGGTAATTGTCGATTTATTTGAATTATTTATTTTTAAAAAATATGGAATTTATACATATTTGTAAATTGATTTGTGCATCCAACCACTGCAAAAATAAGAACAATTGAACTAAAAAAATAAATGAGAAAAGTAGAATATTGCCATATTCACACTTGCACGCGTCTATTTTTGTACAACATAACTAAAATGCTTTTTCTATAACATTTTTTCAAATAAAATTTTGGCAACACTTAAATCATACACGTAACATAATTAACAGTTAATTATTATATTTTTTAATAAAAAATATGTGTTATATATCTAAAATCACGTGTTATGCGGGGGTGTGCATATTCTTGTGCGACGTTGATAGCTGCAAGGATTTTCTTTGAATTCATGATGATTGGTTATTTGGTTACATATTGACATGTATTGAAATTCGAAATCTCTCTATAAATTTAATCAATCTAAACACATTTTATTCATATTCCTATGCTTTTGTAGATTAAACTTGATCTCCAATCTTTTTCTTTTAAGATAATGAAGAGGTTTATGACATGTTTGTCGCTGGCAATCCTATACTTGAACGCATTGGAATGCAAGAAACATGAGGCCAACAAGGCTATCAAGCAACAAATCCAATACTCGGGTCTACAGTGTCGAAAAAGGGTTGCCTTTTTGACCGATTACGGTGCGAAAGGTGATGGAAAGACATTAAACACGGCCGCGTTTAAGAAGGCCATTGCCGATTTGAGCACGTACGGGTCAATTGGCGGAGCATTGCTCATTGTCCCGCCCGGAAATTGGTTGACGGGGTCGTTCAGTCTCACAAGTCATTTCACGCTCTACATTCACCAAAATGCTACTCTTCTTGCATCTCAGGTTGTACTCTTTTTCCCTTAATCAATATGCATACGTTCACTTTTGTTCAGTCTCACAAGTCATTTCATGTTGTATATTTACCACGATGTTGTTCTTCTTGCATCTCAGGTTGCACTCTTTTTCCCTTAATTATTGCGCATATGTTCATGAAAGACATGAAACATCATTGACTTTATTAATTTGGTAAACAAAAGTAAGTATGCTAGTATTAAACAAATCTAATGGTTGTGCAACAATATTTTTTCATTAAATATACATACTTCCAAATTGAAATGTCATAATTTAGAAAATAATATAAACAAAAATATTAACATTTCATAACATACTTTTTTTTTTTGTTAAAAAAAAGTACGACGGTCTATCCGCTTAACGGTTAGGCCGACCAACACAAGAATTTGAAGTACAACCAACATGTTCACTTTTGAAATATGGTTCTTTCTTTATTTCACTTTTGTAAGAAAAGGTTGTGTAACATGATATTATGGATTTGATAGAATGAAACAGATTATCCTCTAATGGATCCATTGCCCTCATATGGAAGAGGAAGGGATGCTAGAGGAAAAAGGTTTGCCAGTCTCATATTTGGAACCAACCTAACTGATGTTGTTATTACAGGTAACTAAAATTGGGTTAATTTTGCCTATTATGGCCAAATACAAGAATTAGCTTTAGTTAGTGGGTAATTAATTTTCATTATCTGGACATATTTAACTCGACTTTTATTTTTTATTAGGTATATTTTCCGAAAATAAAAAAAGTTACTAAGAAAATTTGGCATCCATGCCAAATTACCAAACGTATTTTATAATTTTGCAAAAAGAAAATACAAATTTATTAATGCAAATTTATTATTAATTTTTTTTTTTTTCAGGAGCGAATGGAACAATAGATGGTCAAGGCAAGCTGTGGTGGGAAAAATTCAAGCATAATAAGCTTACCCATACAAGACCATACGTGGTTGAGATCATGTACNATAGTTCACCAAACACTGATGGGATCAACCCAGGTAGCGTACGTGAATTTTTCGCCAGATATATCATTATTTCAGGCTAGAAACTTAAATGAAATGAGTCGTTCGTAAGTTTGGCTCGGTTTGACCCGTTAAGTTTCGAAAAGATAATTTTTTATATAATTTTTCAATCGGCTTGTTAATATTAATAAACAAACTAAGCTCGGACTCGATTACTAGCATCTTGTTAATTAGGGCTCGTTCGTAAGTTCGTCTCGACTTGACTTGTTAAGACTCAAAAAGTTGAATGAGATAATAGAATTTATCTGATTGACTTCATCAGGAGATCGCATGGGCTTTCATCGTCTAATGGTTGAGATCGACTCCAACTTTAAAATTATTTGTCAATTGACTCGTTAATATTAATAAATGAGTTAAGTTCAAGAAGTATATGATGTGCTGAGGTCTAGTCTAAATGACAAGTAGTAACATTTAATTGGCTAGAAAATGCAGGAATTGTTTCTTTAAAACACTTCATAGAATTTTCCTTTTTTCTTTACCATATATATATAATTTTTGACAAGCTTCAATAAATTTTATTCAACCAACAATTAATAAAAATAATAAAAATAGGACTTTATTTGATAATAATCTTTATGTCCAGCTGACAGTTACACAAGTAAAATCTTATTATTATTATTATTTTATTCTGTAACAGTTTTACAAGATTTTAAATTTTTTGAATATACAATATTAAATTATTTTACAGTTAATATTCCTATTTTGTATTATAGTTATATAATAACAAAAAAAAATTAATTTATATGGAAGTTAAATAATTCATATTTATATTATACATTTACATATAATAAAAAATTTAAAATGTAATACGTACACACTTTATCTAATTTAAAGTTTTAAATATCATATACATACATATAATATATATAGATTTTTGTTTCGCACTGTGCATGTACACAGGATCGAATACCAGTATATCATTATTTTAGGCCATAACTGTCAAACGAAATGAGTCATTCGTAAGTGTGTCTCGGCTTGACTCGTTAAGGCTCGAACAGATGAATTTTCATATAATTTTCAATCGGCTCGTTAATATTACTAAACGAGCCGAGCTCGGGCTCGATTATTAGCTAGCTTGTTAATTAGGGTCGTGATGAGTTCGAGCTCTGCTCGACTACTGAATCTTCCGAATACTTTTCACTCTCACAACAGATTCATGCTCGAATGTTCGCATTCGCAACGCATACATCAAGTCGGGGGACGACTGCATCGCGGTCAAGAGCGGGTGGGACGAATACGGCATAAAGTTCGGTATGCCCACCCAAAACCTAAGCATCTACGGACTCACGTGCTTCTCCCCCTACTCGGCCGTCATAGCCCTCGGAAGCGAAATGTCAGGCGGCATCAAGGAAGTTCGAGCCGAGAATATCACAGCCTACAACTCTGAGTCGGGCGTGAGGATCAAGACGGCGCCCGGGCGTGGGGCCTACGTCAAGGATGTTTACGTCCGAAACATGCATTTGTACACGATGAAGTACGTTTTTTGGATGGCGGGAAAGTACAATTCGCACCCTGACGGTAACTACGACCCGAACGCGCTTCCCTTGGTAGAGAATATCAACTTTAGGGATGTTTATGCGGACGGTGTGAAGATCGTGGGGAATCTTTCGGGGATCACGGGCGACGCGTTTACCAAGCTTTGCTTTTCTGACGTGACGGCTGTTCTGGCGAAGAAAAACAACTTGTTGGCCGACGGTTGGCCGGAGTACGAGGTGGACAAGGACAAGACGAAGAAGAAGACAAAGAAGGGAGCTTGGAGATGTGGGGATATCGAAGGCGTGTCGAGCAATGTGACTCCGCCGGCGTGTGATTTGCTGCCCGACAGCGGGAAGCCGATGGAATGCTATTTTCCGAGTGATAAGTTGCATATTGATACTGTTGAGTTGAAAACTTGTTCTGCTAGCTACTGAATTAGTCTTGGTTGTGGGAAGTGTGATTGAGAGTGTGGCTTTGGCTTTGGCTTTGGCTTTGATGAACTTATATGTGTGTGATGGTGATAGAAATGCTTATGATGATAAACACAACGTGATAGAAATGCTTCGGATGATATGTAATAGCTACTTTTTTTTTTTGGTACAATGAACCTTCCGGTTTCCGAATCCCCTAGGGGACCGACTAATCCGGAATCGAGCCGGGTAGGACCACAAGGGCGGCAAAGCTCTACCTCAAGAGTTTTAACACAGCTGCATTCCCAGGGCTCGAACTCGAGACCTCTGGTTAAGCTGGGAGAGACCCCAACCATCTCCCAAGAGTTTTAATAGCTACTTTAAATGAACACAGTTTGAGTACTTTGTAATAGGAATTAAATAATTAAAGACTGAAATAAATCTTCGCTTGCCAGTTGTTTTTCTTTGCTGGTTTGTTTATGATGTGGTTATATTCTAATTAGCAGTTCAACGAGGTGTACGTACTTTAACTAGGATGTGTCACTGTTTAAAAAAAGAAAAGCAGAAATTTTTGTGTAAATTAAAACAACATAACTTTTATGTGAATGAACCAGTATTCATACTTGCTTGTTTATAGATTTTTTTTGCTTTGATTGGTTTTTTTAGTTAACAATGACTCATATTATTTAATTATATGATAATATTGAAAATAATGGGATTGAGTAAAAGTGAATCAAATTTGAATTTGAATTGAAGTTTTTTGGGAAAAATTTATAGACATGCAAGCTAATATCAGATGTCTTACTTTTGTTTACGTTATTTTTCAAGTACGACACTTTATAATGAAAGTATGCACATTTATGAAAAAATATATCGGTCTAATTGTGCTAGTCAGATTATTACAAGACCTACCAAAATAAATAAAAAATTGAATTTTGGTATTTAAGCTAAAGCATAAATATTTATTTTTGTTTAGAAATTTTTACCGATCTTTTGATGTAGGAAAGCGTACGAGTGAGAAGGATAAACGAGTAAACGAGATACTCTCTCGTAAAACACGCAAGATTCACAATCTCTAATCTTATTTCACATTCAAAATCAACTGCTATAACAAAGCCTACGATTCTTTTAAATAAAGCCATCACATTATACCCTAGCTTATTCCCTAAACTACTAATTATTAAATAATATTAATTGCTATAATAATAATAATACTAATAATAATTAGTCAGCACCATCTTTTTACCCATATTAATTTGTGAACAAACTAATCAACAAATAATACAGAAAGGTGACGTGTAATTAAGAGCTTAACGTTAAACAAGGTAATTAGCATAGTCCATTTTGTTACATTAAAAGTAGAACAACTTAACAATATTTGTGAGGTATAATTTACAAATAGAATTATGCCTTGAATACAAAGAGAAAAATACAATCGCAAACCATTTTGTTCTATGTTTTTCCAAAATGCACTGGAGGCCTCATGCAGAGTCTCTCAATATCAACTCCATATGGTTTTTTCATTGGCTGAACCTTAATCTCATACAGCTTCGGCCACAACTTTCCGGTCACTGTTAAAAATCAAATGCAAAAACAAAAAATTGAATACGGTGGCACTTAACGGTTATAGGCGCTCCTCAACAGGTGAATGTAAACTGGAGTCACCCAAAAAAATTACAAAGAAGATACACTAATAGCCAGATTTTGAGTGTCTTAGTTGTACTACATATATGATAAGTTGCACATAAAACCTACATATGAAATTTAGCGTAACTACAAAAGACACACCGACTTACCTTTCAAAATCACTACCCGTTCGTATTTATTTGTGTTTACAAATTGTAACTTGCATCCCCAAGAGAGTAGTCGTATGACTAATGAAAGATAACAAGTCTTATGTAATGAGGCTAAGGCAATGTTTGGTAAAATTATTCCTTCTCCAAACGCACTACAAAACTACGGACAAAGGGTAAAATGAGAATATACCAACACTAAATGGTTTAGCTTACCAAAAAGACGGTCCTTATCCTGATCCCATGCTATGCCATTAAGAACGTCAATATCCTGCAATTTGGTGCCAATGTGTATGATAAAATGTTTTTACAGTAACGAATTCATAGGGTAAAACATATGAGGATAGCTATTCTTCAAGTGATTAACAGTTTACCGTGTGTCCAGATTCTATTAGTTGTTTCCTGTAACACAAACGAGAACATGTAAACTGATTGAACTCCAAATGCATAAAAATGACTAATATTAATCAAGATTGTGTATGACGAGAAGAAAGAACCTCAGATCCGGAAGGTATATCCATCCCAAGAATATGCCACCTTTACCCGATATTCTGGCAATGCAGTCAGTCTAGGAAAGTGCGGATGTAAATAAATGAAAAAATTCAAGGCTAAGATTTGGTAGCACATAAGGCATATGAAATTTATAGGGACAAAAAGATAGGTGTGATTGGAAAATAGCAAACATGAGATGTCTTACTGACAAACCTGCCAAACATTTGCCCATATTTCACCGTTCACATACTCCAGTTCATTCAGGTTGTACACCTCATGCCCTTTGAACATGATGATATGTTTTTTGACAACTGAATGGATATCGAAAAAAATACAATTAGAAAAAGGATGCTATGAAAATAAGTTGGAATATTGAGAAAACAGTACTGGGAGTTCAAAAGATCGTGCCCTTTGTTTTCCCTTCTAAATTGCATCCCCAATATTTTTGTAATTCTGAAATCCAAATTCGTTAATTGGGTTTAAGGCCCTAAGTTCAATTAAAATGAAACGATACCTACAGAAACACAAATACAAATCCCCGACATAGTGCAATTTTTTAGTTCAAACGATCTATGGGTTTTTATTTTTAACTAGACCAAACGTCTATGAAAGTTATTTATATTGACCCAAAGATTCATCCCTTCACTTGACCGAGGATGATTGAATTATTAATGGACATGCTTTCATGAAATGGAAAACCTTTGAACGTCTGAGGGTCCATCTCGTACAAGGTTGAACTCCCGTCGCTTCCAAATAAAACTTTCCCATCGGTTGCTAGGCCCCACCCATCTTTCATGTGATGTTTAAATGTCATAATCTGGGTAAAGCACATAAATATAAGGAATAAATGTAAAAAAACATCGAACCATTTGCCTAGAAGTTCACCTTAAAAATGGGAGCGGGTTGAAGCTGAGAACACTAAAAGTTACTGCTATATAAGTAACAAGGACGACATTAAGATTGCCTATGAAGCAAACTGCTTTTGGAGAATAAATAATAAAAGTTCCTAATCTCTAGAGCCCCCAGCTTAATCACTGTATCCATAGCTTTCATAAAGGATACATTCCACAGGGGCACTAACTACAAGCAGAAGTGAGATAGTAGCAATATTAAGTTTTGACTTAATCGAAACCAGGTAAAAAAAAAAAGGTACAATCTCAAAAATCAATATTACATGATCATAAGTTAAGAAATGTTGCTACACTTTTTGTACCCAGACGTTTTACTAGACTTTAGTAACTTCCTAACATTCTGAGCCCACTGAAATAGGAATTCATCAAAATCAACCACTCCAACATTGACGGACATGATGTGAAAAGCCCTAAGTATAGGTAACAGCCTTATTCTGTAATACAGAACATGGCGTGATAATAAATGGTCAAAAGTGATGCTGGGAGAAATATGAAGGTAAAGTAACTCGCAAGTTCTCAAACAGAGCATGGCATGATAAAAAAAATAGTCAAAGTGAAGCTGAGAGAAATCAGAGGTCAAGTGAACAAACTTTTCTCAAGTTACTTCGATCATATATGAAACCAGTTCTCTTCAACCAAGTAACTTGAAATAACCTACAAAAGTTTATAGGATTATTGCATTAGAATCACTGAATTGTTCTCATAATTAACTCAGAAAACAACCAATATAAAGCTTTCTAATTTAAATTTGGAAGTTATAAGGAACAATGACTAAAACAAACATAAAGTTAGATAACACTGCCAAAACAACAACTTTTAACTGAGAACAAGCCTTTTTAACAAATGTAGCTAATAAAATAAAGCGTTATCCAATTATTATAAGATGTTTCTGCATTATATATTTACTTCATAAGATCTTCACATGATGAATAAACATAAAACACAGTAACATAAGCAACTAGGAACACAAACCTGTCACCTAAAAGAGTCAAACCCTCCCCAAAGTAAGAATCTGGCATTTTGTGAATACTCAGTACCTGTAAGAAAAATTGAAGATATTTAGATATATGCCGCTCCAGCTAGATTTTCTGGATGGTTTGAATGCCTATAAATCCTGGGAAAAAATGGTTCCTCTTCTCTCAGAAGTGATAAGTCGAATATTTCCAAGTTAATAAACTTCGAAAAGATTCTTGGTGAAGAAAGAATAAGAAATGATGAGAGGAAATAATGGGTCTGGATAGTTGTCCCCCAGCCTACTCCAACCCCTTAAAAAGGGGGAAAGAAAGGGAAATAGAAATTCTGGACAGTTGATTAAACTTAAGTACCTTCCCTGATCCAATAGCAACTCTTCGCACTGAGGACTGCACTTCAAGAAAAAGCCAAAAAAAAAAAAACTATATATATACCACCTTATGAGAAAATCTGCATATTAAAGCCATAACAGAGTAAAAGAATATAACTACAACAATAAACAACATAACACAATAATAAGTTCTATGAGAATTACTACAATGGTAAGCAACTAAAAACTTCGGAGCCAATTGTAGGTTTGAGAGGAAACTGTGTGATGAGAGTAATAAGTAATAAGCATACCATATCATTAGAATAAGTGGTGAAGCTATCTTGATGTATGAACAATAAAATTTCATTTCCAAAAGTGTTTGGCAGTCTAGTACGACAGTCTATTAAAGTATTCTGGCGGTGCAGGTATAGTGCACCACGTATTGGAAGCTGAGGGATTAAAAGATGCCATATTAACAGTATTCTGGCATGCAGGCAGAATACACCACATATTGAAGGCTGAGGGATTAAAAGAACTAAAGTGTCCATTTCCAGAAGTATTACGGATCCAACACAAGCACTTTTACTATAATTCCTCTCCACTCACTATCCATCACAAGTTTTCAAAATACACTACCACGAGAAAACATAACAAGTACATGAAACAGTGTGGCTACACATAACATATCATCAGGGCCAAATATAAAGGGATCAGAAACTCACATGCCCATTAAGTCCTGTAGATTCAAAAAGCGAATCATTTCCTGCATACAAAAGCCCCTGAAATCAATTGTGACACAGTTAATCCCCATTGAAGTGCAAATAAGTTTCCACTGTCACTAGTTCCATTTACACAGACCGTCCGAATTCCAGAGAAAACAAAAGCTCCACTAAAAGATACATTTTATCTATATCGAAATACAAACAATCTCACATGTTCAATATTTCCAAAAAATCATAATTATGCGGAATATATGAACAAGTAATGCAAAATACACAAACAAACAAGACCAGTCAGTATGATTCTGCAATTATCTTGATTGTTAAAAAAGGGTATGCCACAATGAAGTGGTTTGGTTTAGCTGACTGAACAACAAACACACTTTAAGTTGAGAAAAATGCAGCGCTAGTAATCTACCAACGGAGAAAAGGAAAAGATAAATAAATTACGGGATAATATAAAGAGTGTGAGCAAGTGGGCAACAGAAAACGCCTAATGCATCAAAATTAGTAAGAGATACAGGCTGCTAGTCATGCCCACAAAAATCAAATTTGGAAAAGATCAATGTATCTTTGTCAATCAGCAGCTGTTCATCAAGTCGAAAGAAGCTAAACCTGAGTGAACGCATTTGGATCGTGGGGAAACTCGTTCACAACCTTAGCACTGTAAATTCCGTAGCCGACGGTACTGTCCAAACCAACCGAGCCGCCCATGTTCGGCCACCTGTTCGAGAGGATCAAAACGCACACAAAGAGGACAGCTGAAACCAGCAAAGGTATCATTCTTGGACTCGATAGACACGACGTCGCATAAGGGACCATCGTACTCTCGCGAAGATCGGTGTGGTTCCAGCTCGACGAGCGCCTATTCGATTTTCTCCTCACCGATTTGATGGCCATAGCGGGGGAGAGCGATCATTTGTGGGGTCTCCGGCGGCGAACGACGGAGGTTGCAGTGGCGAAGGGCGGCTATTCTAGCTACCGTTGGTCAACCGGTGTGGCTGATTTGACCCGAGAGGAGGGGGCGTTTGGCGATTTCAATTTGTGCCTCTTGAAAATGGAATTGATTTGGTTGTATATTCGGCCATATACCGTTATAATTTTTTTATTAGTATATGGTTTGTACTAATTTTACTTAAATTAATGTTAAAACTATGACTAAGTTAATATTCTCATTTTTTTTTATAATGTGGGTTATTTGTAGAATTATTAAGTATTTTTTTCCTAAGTAGTGTATAGCAAAATATTAAAATATTTATTAATTAAAATCTGAACAAACCACAAATTATTTAATAAAATAACTTGATCGTTTCGATTATGGTCCGAAAGCCTTATATTTACTGTATCTTAATAAAAATTATAACAAAGTATTATTTTATTCATATAAATATTAATTAAATAATATATAAATATTTATAAATTATGAAACATATTGTCATAAAAGTATTGTTAATACGATTATTTGAAATTGGGACTGCATCACATTCACGTAATAGAGTATTTTAATATCAAAATTTATATATATATGTTCAATAATCGATTTGATCTGGTCAAACTGATAATAACTTAGTCACTTGGGACCAACTAATCTGTGTCAAGTTTTTTTGACTATTTTAAATATCACCTAAAAGTTATTCAATCAACTTAGGCAGCATCCTAATTCAATCACCCCATAGATCCAAAGAAATTTCTATTTTCTTTAAATATATTTAATTTTATGAAATAAAAATATTTTATGATTCATATAATAAATGTCTACACCAAATGATATAGTATATTAAGATTATAAATTATATATCTAAAGATGAAGCAATTATTATGACTTTATGCATATTAATAGAAAATAAACAGAGTAATTTTTAAAAATTAAGATAATTGATTAATTATCAATTTAAAGAATATTTTTTAGCGTTTAATAGCTTTTTTTTAAGTCACAAATATAAAGACCGAGATTTTAAAACTTTTGTTATATTTTGAATTGAGATTTTATAAATTTAGAGATCGAGATTTTAATGTTGTTCGTTGTTTCTAAAAAAAAATATAAAAATAAAAATATGCTCACTTAATAGATCTTGGCCGGATTTTTTAAATAATAAAATGAACTAAAGTCCAAAATTTAAGGTAGCATTTAATTTTGTAGGATTTTAAAGAAAAAATTAAAAAAAATAATAAACTTACTATTTTTGGGCTGTATTAAATTTTACCTTTTTTTTCTACTATTTTTGATAAATAAGTTGTCTCTTTATATATAAATAAATAAATAAATATAGATAGATTTTTCTATATTAAATATAACTGAATAAATAATTTACAATACCAAATCATAATAAAAAAAATACAGCTTAGATTAACTAAATAAATAGGCCAATGAGCAAATTCCTAAAATGCCTTTAAAGCGGGAAATAAACATAGCAACGAAATTCCAGACTGGAGTAGAAGCCTCCAGAACGCCCCTGAATCCTCACACCTCCGGAGAAAACGCTCACCAATGGAACTCCCTAGAAAATCTTCCCCACCTATATAAACCTTGTCCTTCAACCTTTCTCAATCAGTAGGAAACGGAACAATCCACTTGAAAGCAAGCTGCTCTGATTTCACGCTCACGCGCTTTCAATCACCCGTTTGAATAGTTTTTCTGCTTCAGATTTCAGATGGCGGACGTGCAGATGGCGGATGCAGAGACTTTTGCCTTCCAGGCGGAGATCAACCAGCTCCTCAGCCTTATCATCAACACGTTCTACAGCAACAAGGAGATTTTCCTCCGGGAGCTCATCAGCAACGCTTCGGACGCGCTGGACAAGATCCGATTCGAGAGCTTGACCGACAAGAGCAAGCTCGATGCGCAGCCGGAGCTGTTTATCCGACTCGTGCCGGATAAGGTTAACAAGACGCTCTCGATTATCGACAGTGGGATTGGCATGACGAAAGCAGGTAATGTGTGTTATCCTTTCGTGCTTTACGTTAGTCGTTGTTTTTCGAGGTGTGTTTTTGCTGGATTTTTTAGCCTAGTTGAGGCTGTCAATTCATCTGAATTGCTTGTTACGAGGTGTAACGTCTGAGTACCTCAGCATATATAATCTAGTATTTAGATCTGTACGAGCTGCTTAAAAAATTGTATGAACATTTTTTTTCGGTATAGATGCTTCTTATGTGATGTTAGAATTTGTTAGTATACTGTATGTCCAATTGAAATGGCTATGATCAAGTTTATAGTAAGGGAAATCATGAATTCTGTTACTGATGATGTTATTTTTGGCATAAAAAAAACCTGGCAGATTTGGTGAACAATCTGGGTACAATTGCAAGGTCTGGCACCAAGGAATTCATGGAGGCCTTGCAGGCTGGTGCTGATGTCAGCATGATTGGACAGTTTGGCGTGGGTTTCTACTCTGCTTACCTTGTTGCAGAGAAAGTCATTGTCACTACCAAGCACAATGATGATGAGCAGTACATTTGGGAATCCCAAGCTGGTGGTTCGTTCACTGTCACGAGGGATGTCAGTGGCGAGCAACTCGGCAGGGGAACCAAGATCACCCTCTTTCTGAAGGAGGATCAGGTAAATAAAGCTCTCTTAGCTCAAATTGCCTTGAATGCCATTAACCAACTTTTATGAATATTAGCTAGATGTTACTAATGAGGCGAGATAGGTATTCGGTGAATAGTTTGCCATTAAACAAGAATTTAGTTTGTATGAATTGAGAGGTTGGGTTTTTGTTCTTAATCATGTTTGGTTATCAATTTTAGTTCATAGTCTGTACTGTCTATTCAAGCAATGTCTATTCCAGCAATAAAAATAGTCAAGAAAGAAAGGGCTACTTATTGATTACATGAGAAATACATTGAATAAGTAACAATGGCTTAAGGATCTGAGTAATCTAGTTGCAACAGTAGTG